CTTTGCAGAGTGAGTTTTGCAGACAAGCTTATTTACCATTAAAAGACCAACCAAACTAATTGCCCTCTACAATCAGTAGTGTGGTCAATCTTATCCACAACTCAAAACAATGAACTTAGAAAAATAAAGAGAAGAGTCTACAAATCCACTCTGGAATCTGGATCCAGTGCATTTGGACTCAAAGGAATTGTCCTTTGACTGAATGCCAAATGATGCCACATCAAAAGTGGCCCAGGTCCAATTTATCCATTAGTGGAACTATAGGCAAGTCTAAAAATTAAAAGCGGGGTTCAAAGTATCAATACAATACGTCCAACACGAGACATATTGCACCGGTTTTCAAGGGCACTGATATGTTATGTTTTAATAACTAGTTGGGTTGATATGTTTTAAATGTTAAATTCTGAGTGACTTTATCCCCTGACAATTTGTCAAAATCAAAAAGGAAAAAAAAAGAGTTTTGGTCAGTTGAACCATGAATGAAAGATTATTTAAAAAAAGGTCATTTATTTCAAAATACTAAGAGGCCCCAGATCCCTCACCTTCTTCTCTTGAAACAGTGACTCATACCCTTGTTGTCTTTTGTTTATTGACCTGCAACAGTGATTATTGCAAAGAGAAGAGAATGGATGGGTGGAAAGTGTGTTCTCAGCAGACCCTAAAGTAACTTTTATATTAAGGGGATAATGTTACATAAAAAGACAGATGTGCCCCTGATTAGTGAAGGCACACTTAATCACAAACAAAAAGAATCAAACCAGGCCCAACACAGCAATATAACTAATAACATAAAGAGGAAAAAAAAGCCAATAGAATTAATCATGCCAAACTTGCCAAGCAACTTTAGTGCAGTCCTCACTGAAGAAAGACTTACATGGGTGCAGTCCCCATGCAAGTCTCCATTCCGAGAACCACCTATTGCTAATGTTGTTCATAATCATTGCAATAAAATATCTTCTTAAAAGGCAATAAAAGTTATAAAACCATTATTTTTTATGTGAGAAATAAGAATTTCAACCCTAACATAGACTTGTTTGGGCTTCCCTCGAGGGGCGTGGTACAAAGGCGACTCATAGAATCAAGAATGCAATATGTTTTGCATCACATTAACTACATGAAGCAATGCAATTAAGGAAAAAAGAGATTGTGGGTTTTACATGCTTGAAAATGCTTTATATGTTTGCTTTTATTTTTAAATTTTCATTTGAATACACTTTACATGTTATGTTTATGTATTTTAATTTTAGATAATAGGTTTTTAAATCATTTATTTTAAATTTTTAGTTTATATTTTTTATTAACATTATGTTTAATATTTTTTTGAATTTTTTGCTATTTTTAATTTGTGGCATTTTTTTGAATTTTCTGATTTTTTTATTTTTTAGCTTTTTTTTTGTAAATTTGCACCTTTCTTAAAAAGGCGCACGCACAAATTGGCCCTTCCACTTTTTTTGCGCCTTGCGCTTTTAAAACACTATACTAAGGGTAATAGAACCCAAATGGTGTTGAGCTTTGCAACTAGCGCAAATGTCTCCTTGTAATCAATGCCTCCTTTCTGTGTAAACCCTTTTGCCACCAGCCTGGTTTTATATCTTTCTATTGAACCATTCGCCTTATGTTTCATAGTGAACACCCACTTACACCCCACAATGCTCATTTGCTCTGGTAGATCCACTAATTCAAAGCCTTGGCTTTCACCAAAGCCCCAATTTCTTCATTCATCACCTCTCTCCATTTAGGATTAGTTATAGCTTCAAAGTACCTTGTGGGAACATGGACTAAAGAAAGAGCAAATATTATAAAATATCATAATTGTTTGTGGTACTTCGACATGACTTTTTAACAACTAAATCTAAATACATCTGAAATAGCAATCTATGAAGCTGATAAAGTATCAGTAGCCATCTATAGAAACAAGGGGTGAAGGGCCCCAAACATCACAATGGACCGAACCAAAAGAAGCATGAATTTCATTATTTGAAATTAGATAAATGTTTCTACATTGCTTCGACATCTGATAAACTTCACAAACTAAACTCTAACTCGAAATACATAGAAACAACTTAGGAAACAATTCTTTTATCAAAGAAAATGACATATGACCTAGCCTAGCATGCCACAAATGCAACCTAGCTATTGACTCCTTATGATCCCAACCACTGAAAGTAGATGAATGCAAGGCTGAATTAATGTCTTCATCAAAGTAGTAAAGGCCTCCAACCTCATGAGTCATGACCACTCCATTGATCAAAAAAAAAAAAACTCATGACCACTCCCAATCATACTCCTCATAAATCTGTCCTAGAAAACACAATACGGAAAAGGTTATGTTGCAGCTCAAATTCTTAGTAAGCTTAGAAATAGATGATAAGTTCAAAACAAAGCTAGGAACATGAAGAAAGCTGTGCAAGATAGAATTATCAAGTTTAGAAGCTTTCCCCAATTGTTTTTAGAAGACATTTCCCCTGAGACTGATGACATTGTTTCCCTCTGCCCACTCACCTACTGCTGTTGTCACACCAGAATCAGATTGTACCCTACTGGAACCCAAGGCAAAGCAAAGAATACATTCACGGCAACAAGCACTCAGTTGCAACACACTCCTCAGCCCACCTGCACCTTCCTAATACTTTAGAAAACCCTTCTACTGCAGTCAGCAACACCAGAAACTTTTCTCCAGGCTTAATCTAGGACTCTCTACTCAGTCCTCCTAAATCTTTTCTAAACAGACCTCTCTAGTAGTCAAATGGCTACTGACTGTTAATAAGGTCTAGTAGCGCATGCACCACACAGAAAACTTCCTCTTTGATCCCTACACCCAAAGGGAAACCCTAGATACAGATCCTTTTGTGGACAACAATCAGATCTAGGGCTTCTTAACAAGTAACCAGAAGAAACAAAAAATGATAGAGGAGGAAGAAAAAAGGTTGGAACAAGTAGCGATCAGGTCATTAATGCTCCAATACCATGTTTGTTGACCTGTAACAGTGGTTAGAGCAAAAAGAAGAGTTAAGGGGATAAAGAACAGAGTGGAGGTGGTCTGGATACCACCAATTGAAGGTTTTGTTAAACTGAATTTTGATGGGAGTAGCAGAGGTAATCCAGGCCCTTCTGGAATTGGAGGGGTGATGAGAGATGGAGAGGGTAAACTTATAGCACTTTTTTCTGGCCCTGCGGGTATGGGTGACTCTCTCAAAGCAGAACTGCTTCCTACAATTCAAGGAGTGCAGATAGTGAGTCAAACTTGACAAATATGGTGATAAAAGGGGACTCGAAAGTGGTAGTAGAATGGCTAAAGAATCCCGAGTCTATAATTTGGTGCCACAAGAGTGAAATAAAAAAATTTACATGGCTAACCAGGAATATGAATTGAAGGATACAATGGGTGAGGAAATCAGAAAATGGGATGGCGGATGCTTTGGCTAAGCAAGGGGTGAACAGGTCTATTTTATTCAGGGCACAATTGTAATGTGTTTTCTTTTTGTATGAAAAGTAGCAACTCGTGTCTCTCTAAGGGATGATTGTAAAGATATTACATAAAGTCTATTAATAAAGTTCAAATTATTCATCAAAAAAATATCACATAAAAAGACGGATATGCTCCTGATTAGTAAAGGCACACTTAAATCACAAATAAAAAGAACTAAGCCCGGCCCAATAGCTTCAGGCCCAACACAGTAATATAAATAATAACATAAAAAGAAAAAAAGCCCATAGAATTAATCACCCATTACAACATCTTTCTTTTGTGGCATGAACTTTGACAAAATTACAGGAACAACAAATGGTGAAGATGAGTCAATTCCGTTGCTCTTGAACTAGAGACTGAAAACAGCAGCCACAGGAATGTCAAAAATAGAAAACAGCAAAACTCAAAGACCTTCTTTTGATGTCTTCACTGATGTCAATTATGTTTCAACTTTCGACCTTGTGGTTTTGTGATTTACTTCAGTTAATCTGGACAGACACTATATGGACCAGAGGGTGGGTCTTGGCACAACAGTTGGGTTGCTCCATTGTGACCTAGGTGACCAGGGTTCAAATCTTGGAAACAGCGTCTCTGTATGTGCAGGGGTAAGGTTGCATACATCTGTCCCTCCCCAGACCCCACATTGGCAGGAGCCTTGTGCACTTGGGCTGCCCTTTTAATCTGGACAGACACTATATTGCAAATTGACAGTGTCTTAAATTAAAAAGATATAATCATTTCAATTTTCAAGATAAGATGGCAATGGTTCTGAGGCCTCCTTGAATTTCAAAAAAGAATGACCATTTTTTTTGAATAATTTATACTTAATCTTGTTCAGGTTGCAGGTAGATTGGCTCTAAGCCACTTTTAACAAAGCAACATTTGGTGTGAACTTGAAGGAAAATTCTCTGATGTCCAAATGTACTGGATCTGGAGTTCTACAAGTCTGACTATAGTATGTATTACTGTTTGAATGATATTATTGTGTATGTAGACTAAAACATGATTGATAGTTTAGTTCAACAAGACAAAGCATGTGAAAGTATTGTGGAATATTTGGAAATATTAATACCCAAAAATTTTGAAAATTTTACAAGGAAAAAGTAAGAAATGTTTTCTAGAGCTCATCTTAATCACTAGTGTGGAACAAGTAATCAGTGATAGACACCCACTATTTTACAGTGGAACATATGCACTAGAGAGGGAGCATGTTTGGGGGAAGGGGGGAAGGAGTCCATACATTCCATTTAAATTTTACAATTTGAGCAATGTCTTTTCCTTTCTAGTTTCTTTTTTTTCATTTTCATCAAAGCAAATCAAGAATATTTCACAATTTTGAGGTCTATAAACCTAATTATGTTTCAATCAGTTTCACTGCCTTTCGCCAACTCATAAGTCATAAATTAGATCATGTACACATCCAAAAAGATAAGAAGACACTTGTGTGCTCAACCACATACACATACAAAAGGATAAGCCTTTATCAAGAAAGACAGAAGAAAAGGATTGATCAGAAGATGCATCTTATTACCAACAGCCGCAGTAGCACTCCAGTGGTACAAAATAGAAGCCGTGTTTGTGTTGAGCGTTTTGATTCCAAACGGATCTGATAACCCACTGTTTCACCAAGAGCCTCCCCCCTTTCAGAAGAAATCCGAGCTGAAACAGATATAGCAGATATACGACGAGGTTGAGTGCATATTATGTTGCAATCTGCACCACGAAGAGATGATATTTCCTCCTCCAGAATAAATTGGGGAAGCTGTGTTGTTTTTCCACAACCTGTCTCTCCCGAAACTACTAGTACCTGCTTTGTCAAATAAAACTACTGAGAATGGTAATACCCAGTGGCACTACTATCAGACCTACAAGAAGTGCAATTTGCAAATCAACTGGGTGTAGTGCAGCTTATTATTGAAGGGAATTCCAAGGTGGTGGTGGCAGGATGATTGAAGAACCCTGAGGATACTATGTGGTGCTACAGGAATGAAGTCAAAAAAATTTAAGTGGCTGACAAGGATTACACAATGGGTGGGGAGATCAGCAAATGCTTTGGCTGATGGTTTAGCTAAGCAAGGGGCAAATAGGGAAGTGTCTTTTTGGGCTCAGCTGTAATGCTTGTTTTTCTCTCTCTAGTTTCCTTGTAATCAGTTGAGAGAGGCTGCAACTCGTGCCTCACCAAGGGCTGTTGTATGAGTTCAAAGTTCTCTATTATCTCTTGAAGTAATAAAATTTTTAATTATTCATCAAAAAAATAAGTGCAGCAAAGGCCAAGGAATATGCAACAAGTTCAATGATTATCTAATCATGGAAAAAATATAACACAAACTCTTAGTGAAACAAGTTAACTGATTAATTAATCATGGAAAAATACAATACAAACTCTCAGACAAATAAAAAATGCAAAGTACACAAATAAAACAGCAAAAGTATTTCACATTCTTACATACCTTATAGACTATAGTGAATTCCTGCGTAAAGGTTCATGTGGACAAGGTGCTTTCTTCTTATTCCTCAGTAGAGGGGATTGGTTTTGATTCTTTTTTTTATCAGCAGAATAGGAATTTTATTAATAAAAGATTAGGAATTACAAGGTCTGGGTGTGATTTCCACCCCAAATCAACAAAGATTACAGATTTTCCTAAAACATTTGCCTTCTCACGGCCCCTTGTTTGGCCAGAGAATGCCATTCCATTTACTGTTCTTCTTACCCACTTAAAGGAAGCATTTAGTTCTCTTGTTAGGCTTACAACCTCCCTGAATTTATGCTTGGTTTTGATTCTTTTTTTATCAAAACATTTGTTGACACTTGAAGGATGGGGATATGGGACAGCTGAGCAGTCAAATATTTTATCAACCATCTCAATGGACAAATGAGGGACAGCTTCCCTCACAAATAGATATGGCACCAACAGTCTCATCCAAGGTAGCTTTTATGGTTTGGTTAGCCACACTGGGGAATCGTGTCATGAAAGACAAGCTAATTGTAAGGCTCTTTTGAGTGATGCTGGTATACCCCTCATGTTTGGGGAATGCAAACCTTCATTACATTGGAAACTTGTGGCAAGTTTCTGGGATGTGAATGGCGAAAGACTTCAGAACCAAATTCACCTGGCAAGGTATTAGCTGACATTGATTATGTTGTGATGGCTCTGCCATCGATGACTGCTTTCCACCAGAGATTTTTATGAAGATGATCGATTGAGAGAGAAGATCAATGTTCTACAATGTGGATGAGAAATGACGGGGTTTCAATTCTGATTTGATATTTTTTTTATCAATAACAGAAATTCTATTAAAGAAAGAAATATAGATTGCAATGGAAACAAGGGGAGAGATAAAAGCTCTTATCCAGAGTATCTGCAAAGGAATTTGCTGATTTGATGTTTTGATCAGCCAGAATGCTATGGTAGAGAGGTAGGGCTTTGCAGCCAATTGTGGAGGTGAGTTGGAAAAACCTAAGGATGAAGAAGAGGATGAGCCGGAAGAAAGCAGGGGAAGTTCTGGAACTTTGATAAGGGACAGGTTTAATAAGGGGACATGTGTGTGATTGAGCTGGAGACGGGAAGTTGAACCATCCAGAGGGATTTAAAAACAGAGGAAAATATGAATTTCTTAGGAAGGTTAAAAGGAGTGGGGTCCATCACCAAAGACATGGCTCAAATAAGTTATTAGGGTCAATAGAAAAAAGAAAGATTTTACGTATAAGAAGAGGATTAAATGAAAAGAAACATTGAGGGTTTGTTTTTGAGAAGACCTCAGAAACCCAGTGTTTTAAAACCTGGCCAGAAGTTTAAACTGCTATTTCCTCTGAGTCAACAAGTCACTATCCAACCATCCAGGCCAGTGGGTCAACCCATAATGTCATCATTATAAAAAATTCAAACAATATATAAAACTAATGCAAAGAATCAGCAACTTGTTAGGGTCAAACAGATTAACAGTCAACCATCTGGGTCAACAGGTCGTTGATCAAGCCAACAATTTTTTGTAATATTTTTTGAAAGGTAAAATTTCATTGTATAAATGGGAGGGAGAGGACTCCTCCAAAATATATCTACAAAAAAGGAGGACTAAGAAACTGAGCCCAGGTGTATATAATATACGCACTAGCTGGAAGAAGCTACAATCATCTGATATAATCTGATGCTGTTGATTACAAAAATTAGCAAGTCTGAAGTTATGGAACTCCTCAAGGGTCTTGGACTAAAAAAAAAATTATATCTCCCCATGTGTCTAAGAAGCCTCTCCTTAAAAATGTAAACACCTTTAAAAGTCCTGTTATTTCTTTCCTGCCAGTATCCCCCAACAGCCTGTAAAAGGAATCATCTTCCATAGCAGATTTCCTCTTTTTTTATCAATAACTAAACAACTTCATTAAAATCTAAAGGAAGAAGATACAATACAATAGGAAAAGGGAGAGAGAAACTCTCTTAGCTCTCCCAAAGAAAAAGCAAATCACAACAAATCCCAAAATAAATTATCTCTTCCCACCTCCTTTTTATCAGCAAGACTCTTCCCACCCTTTGTTTAGCCAATACATCAGCAAAAGAGTTAGCGTCTCTTTAAACCCACTGAAATCTAACTTCCACTCCAAGTGACACCCACTTGAATTTCCTTTCTTTCATTAACATAATTCCACCAACTTACATCCTCCTTTTGCAACCAGCTTATCACTAACTTTGAGTCACCCTCAATAATCAATTTCCGAACATTCAATTCCATGGCCCTTATAAAACCTTCCATTACAGCCAAGATTTCAGCCCTCAATGAGTTACCAACACACCAATTGGACGAGAAAAAAGGCAAGAATTCTTCCTTCATCATTCCTTAAAACCCCTCCAATGCCTGAAGGACCGGGATTTCCTTCACTACTACCATCAAAATTTAGCTTAATGAACAATCAGCCAGTGGGGACCAAGACCACCTTATAACAGCAGCATGAGGAGATGAGTTTGCCACCTCTACTTCATACGCAGGTCATTAGTAGAGATATCCAATGCTTTTAAAGGGGCAATTCGTGCCAGAGGCGCAAGGCGCAAGTGAGGCACACGCCTTTTTGAAGCAAGGCGCAAAAATACAAAAAGAAAAAAGCTAAAAATAAAAATGTCAGAAAATTCAAAAAAATACAAAAAAAATCAAAAAACATTAAACATAATTTAATAAAAAATATAAACTTAAATTTTAAAATAAATGTTTTAAAAACCTATTATCTAAAATTAAAATACATAAGCATAACATGTAAAGTGTATTCAAATGAAAATTTAAAAATAAGATCAAACATATAAAGCATTTTCAAGTATGTAAAACCCACAATCTTTTTTTTTCCTCAATTGCATTACTTCAAATAGTTAATGTGATGTAAAACATATTGCATTCCTTATTCTACAAGACACCTTTGTACCACGCCCCTCGAGGCAAGCCCAAACAAGTTCATGTTAGGGTCTTAAATTCCTAATTCTCACATAAAAGATAATGATTTTATAACTTTAATTGCCTTTTAAAAAAGATATTTTATTAGAATTGTTTCGACTGGTGCTACAGTAGTCCGAACCAGGAAGAGAAGAAGAAGAAGAAGAAGAAGAGAAGAAGAAGAAGGGTCTGTCGAAATCTRATGGATTACTCATACAAACGACCCCCTTAATCTATATTAGACTCTAATAATCTTTACAAAGACAAAAATGCCCTTACTTAAGAGTGGGGCAGAGTGACTCTAATAACACTACCACATAAGCAAGCTACTTAACAAACATAAGAAGACTAAACTACCCCTATTCGGCACACTTTAACACTCCCCCTCAAGCTGGAGAATATATGTCATA